TGGATATAGGTAGAAGTCGATGGCTGGTTGCCAAGGGGCTTAGGGGAGATGGATTGCGACCAGGCAGGAGAGAAATCTGGGAGGTAATGAAAATGTTCTGTATCATAATTAGGGTGGTGGATACAGGACAAAGCCCATGAAATTTTTTTTTTAAAGATAGAGTCTCACTCCATCGCCTTGAGTAGAGTGCTGTGGCATCATCATAGCTCATCACAACCTCAAACTCCTAAGGCTCAGGTGATCCTCTTGCTTCAGCTGGGACTACAGGTGCGCACCACGACACCCAGCTGAGTTTTCTATTTTTAGTAGAGACAGGGTCTTACTCTTGCTCAGGCTGGTCTGGAACTGCTGAGCTCAAGCAATCCTCCTTCCTCAGCCTCCCTGAGTGCTAGGATTACAGGCATGAGCCACTGCACCCAGCCAAAAACTCATTAAATTTTATGATAAAGGCTGAGCACAGTGCAGTAAGAGCACGACTCCGCCTCCATTAAGAAATAGAAAAATAAACCAGATGTGGTGGTGGGTGTCTGTTTCCTAGCTACTTGGGAGGCTGAGGCAAGAGGATTGCTCTAGCCCAGGAGTTTGAGGTTGCAGTGAGCAATGATGCCACAGAACTCTAGCCCAGGTGACTGAATAAGACCTTTTCTCAAAAAAAAAAAAAAAAGAAAAGAAAAAAATTATAATGCTAATTGGTGAATTTTACTACATGTAAATTAACCGTCAGTAAAGCCAAACAAAAACTATCAAAACAAAGCTAGAACTTCTACCAACATCTAATCTGTTCCCTTGTCCCCATCACATCCTTGAGCCAACCATCACCCAGAATGTTCTCTGTTCGTGCCTCTGCTTCCCTTTGTATATAGTTACATCTACATATTTGCGGTCCTTAAAAATGTTATTTTACATTTTCAGTTTTTAAAAATTCTTTAAAAAGTGTATTAAACTTCATTTAATCTTCTGGGATCTACTTTTTTTCCTCCTTTATTTATACTTCTAGGAATTATCTGTATATGGCATGTCACTTGATTCACTTTTTGAGTACTGATTAATATTCTATTGGATGGAGGCTGGGCGCAGGGGCTCACACCTGTAATCCCAGCACTCTGGGAGGCAGAGGTGGGTGGATTGCTTGAGCTCTGGAGTTCGAGACCAGCCCGAGCTAAAGCAAGACCCCATCTTTAAAAACAGCCGGGCATTGTGTCGTGCAACCATGGTCCCAGCTACTTGGGAGGCTGAGGCAGGAGGATCACTTGAG